TTCTCTCCCATTGGGAATTCAAAACAGCTAAGAACAAGGTATAAAGCATACATATACATTAAGACAAAAAGGAAATAGACATAGTCAATAATAACAATTAAAACATAATAAGACAATTAAAACCATAATAAAATACATTACAGATTAAAATACTATCAGCACTTTAGGTATATTTAGAAACTAAATAAACATAAACTGAAGCCATTATCCTTCCCATTGCCACTTCTTCATAAGGTATTGCATAGAAAGGTTCAGCCCCAAATGTTACTATGGTGCCTATTGCTCTCATATCAATTTTCATTAAAGGCCTGGTTCCAGAGGGGGGAGGGGGAATCTGATGTCTGAAAGTTAGTAGGGAGGGAACCATTCTGATTTTTTTTATCTTTCCCAGTGGTTTCATGTGGATGTTAAATAACATGGGGGATAATGCTGAACCTTGAGGGACCCACGTGACAAAGGCCAAGAGGTCAAACAGGAGTTCGCCAGCACTACCTGCTGGACCTGAACCTCCAGGATTGTGTGGAGCCACTGCAAAACAGTGTCCCCTAATCCCATTGCTGAGAGGTGGTCCCCCTATCTAGTTCTCTGTGTAGATCATCTACCAAAGTGACCAAAGCCATCTCAGTCCATAGCCAGACCTGAAACCAGACGCTAATGGGTCTAGATAATCTGTTTCATCCAGGAAAACCTGGAGTTGGGAGGCCACCACATGTTCCAGAACCTTTTTCAAAAAGGGGAGGTTTGAAACTGGTTAGTAGTTGTTCATCATCGAGGGGTCTAAAGATGTTTTTTTAAGAATTGGTTTTACTATAGCCTCCTTGAGGCATGTTGGTGGTACATCTTGAGTCAATGAAGTGTTACTTACTGTCGTTACCCACTCTGCCAGCCCCCCCTCTCCCGCTTGTTTGATTAGCCATGAAGGGCAAGGGTCTCTTGCCCCTCCAAGGATCCTGTCTATATCATCAGGCTGCTCCAGAACCACAAAGAACTCAATGGCTGGTGCTATTTGCATCTTGCCCTGGTGTGACCCGACTTTCTTATTATTCTTTTGTGTTTTAACATATGGTTCATATGCCCTTTGCTAATTTCAGATGATTTTGGAAGAAATTGGCTTGCATTCTCTTAAATTTGTCCCTTACAAATTCCTTGGATTTCAGATCTTGTCAGCCTGGGTCTGTAGAGCCTGTGGTCTAGAGCTGGATATTCAAATAGTGCTTGAGATTGATAAAAATTGAAATATTTGGAAATTGAAATATTTGGTAAAGCATTCCTCATTTTCAGCCGATTTGCTTTTGACCATCCATTTTCTGGACAATCCTAAAGCAAGTGGCTACAAAAACAACATGTAGTCAGCTCTGTTGTCATTATTTGCATGGCAGTTTTGGTCTTTTACCTCCTCTCAGTTGTCAAAAGTGCATTTTTTTCATTCAGTCTGTTCAGTCATTCATGGGGCATCTTAGATTGTGGGCAGTGTGTCTCTTGCTATACTGTACAGGTTTGTGCTTAAATTATAATATAAATAATGATACACACACACACAATAACAAAATGTTATATAGTAATATATAATAAGACCAGGTTATACATATATAAAACTGGGTTCTACAGTTTTACCATTTCTGCTTTTTGACAGTGTTTCTGGTCTCTAAACTATCAAATAATTGGGGGATGCTAACTTGTCTGTCTGTCTTTCTGTCTGCCTCTCTCTCTCTCCTGTTTGGGTTAATATAATATAACTTATTACATCTGTTTAATTATAATCATCTATATAATTAATAGAATTTTAACACATATATTTAAAGAACATCTTCCTTGTTCTTTCTGTGGAAGCGGTCTATATATTAATAATAAAAGTATTCCTGACATTAGCCTATGATTGGCTTGCTTATAGTAATCATGTGCAGTGTTGCTTCCGTCCAGCCAGATTTCTTGCTGGCCCAAGTACCGTACACTTATTGTAGTTATTAAACTTTGCATGGTTGTAGCTTGTTTAACTTTTTCTCAAGTAAGGAGGGCATGTATTTCAGGGATTTGCTAAAGGACATGTTTGAGTTAGGGAAAGGGAAAATGGTACAGCATGCAGGCAGTAAATTGCAGCCTAATTATTTGTAATGTGAAAAGAGCAGGGAGCATTTCCAAAGCTGTATTCTTATATGTGAGATGAAGGTCTCTTGATACAACTTTTGTATGTTTTGCTGAGGCTTGAGTAAAATATTTGCGAGATTTGACTATTTCCTTGAAATATGTATGTTTAGAATTGTTAGATTAAAAATGGAGACAGCTCCTGTAAAGCTCCTGAAAGATGGAATTATAGCAGATATTGTTTACCATATAAGCATGTAAAAAGCATTGATGAAATTTCCCTTAGTTGCCACCTTAGTTGCCACCTTTAGAGGTACCAGAGGGCTTTCAACTTTCCACTCCGGCAACTGTGTGTGCACTTTGATAGGGTTGCCAGACTGAGAACTAGAGACAACTCCTGTATCTTTAATGAGTGTGTATAAGAAGTAATTTCAGCAAATGTTGCTTGCCAACTTGCCAGGAAACAAGCAATAATTTCCCTTTTCTATACAATTATTAAACAGGACTGTCTCCAGTTTTCTTTTGACAAACCTAGTACTTGATTAAAAAAAAACTTTGTAAGCAATATGAGTATCAGTCACTTGATGGTAGTTGACTGTATAATCACACTGAAGGACCTAGATATTTTTGGAGAGGGCATATTAATTAACTTGGTGAATAATCACATCAAAAAACTTGTAAATGTGGAGGGCCGACTATATGGCGGTTCCCAGTTTTAGTCCTAATGAGAAGACCTCTTCAAAGTTAGACAGAAAAATTCCTTTCAAAGCCAATTATGAGCTATAGCCAGTGGACTATTGAAAGGTAACCTTAAAACAGTTTTGTATACTTTTTTCTGCTGTACAGAATTTGCAGGGGAAAATCATGGAAGCATTTTTTTTAAAGATTTTAAAACTAGGCAATAACAAAATCAAAAATTTAAAAGGCTGTTTTAGACCCTAGCAGCATCCCTACTATGTCCACACATTAACTTGCATCCGGGAGTAAGAGATACATATTATAGTCCTTCTTGCTGTCATTTGAAAAGCAGCCAAGCTGACTGTTCATAATTTCCTTAACATCTTAACAGTTAAGGAAATGGGAGAAATAAATGACTGCTGCCTGAGAAGCGTTTATCTTCTGATACCCATAACTATCTTGTTTAGCTAATCTTCCCCAGCAATTGGGAGTTGAAGAAAAAGCGAAAGATAGCTGATAGAGATCATAGTAACAGGCTACTTCTCATATCACATAACGTTACCCCCCCCCCCCAATTGACATTGGTATCGTGCCTTTTAAAATAATGTGTAAGCATATTTTCAGATAAGCTGTGTATTTGTCTACATTCCATTACATGTGTTGTTGTACAGTTTCTGGCTTCAGAGCTATACTTGGGGGATGAAGCAGACACTAGCGTGACAATTCTGATGAAACAATTTGCATTCCACATCTCATGGACATTAATGCATGAGCCTGATATCCAAGCATGAGAACTATCGCTGTCAGGGATGGATATATGGGAGAGATAACCCGTACAAGAGAGATTTAAAAATAGGTGGAACATCTTGCCACATTTTTTTCTTTTATAAACTGTTGCTCTGAATAGCAATCCTGGGTATGTCTGTTCAGCAATATACCCCACTGAATTTAATTTCTCTTGGGAGGGGGCAAGACAAGGCTGATGAAGTAGCAAGAGGACGTGGTGGAAGTATTGCATAATTAGGGTCAGGTTGCTTGCGTCACTACACTTTCAAGCTGTTCCCTTCGTATGACCACAGTTGGGGTCACAAATTATGGTACTATTAGTTTCCCTCTCAAAAGCTGTTCATGGGAAAAGGATGGGGGGGGGGGGATACCTTGCCAACACAAAATAGATGTTTTTCTCCTACCCTTAGCTGCAACATTACTGCCAAATTTATAAACACATTACTTTGAATCATCCCCAACTAAGTAGGATTCCCCTCTTAGTTCCTAATGAAAAGGTTTTGGGCTACAGTCTTAATGGAAGAAAGTGATCACTCTGTTTTTCCCCTCTCTTTCTCTGTACAAGATGTTAACTGTGGACAAGATACAATGGCGAGACTGGGAAAAACAGTGTTCTTTGAATAGTTTCTAAAGTTTGCCATTCCAAAGGACCACGGATAAATGTTTGTAGAGCTATATTTTGATGCTTCAATTATTTTGCCTTCAGCTCAGGAAAAAAAAAATCAACATTTTCTGTTCTTACTTATGAATGTGTCCTAAGTCTTGGGCATTGCCTTGGAGATAGTTGACAGTACATTGCTTTGAACAGTTAAACATGGTAGCAAAAAGGAGCAGAGCTTGGAAACGTGTTTACAAACAATATATTATTGTTTTTTTTCTGGTAAAGATGTAATAAGTAACATGGTTTCTGAAGTAATGTGATTTTGTAACTTTTCAATAGCATTCGAAGTAAATATGAACAAATTATTTTATTAGTATCAGCTGTACCAAGTAATTTTTATATTTTTATTTTTAAAGGGCAATTTTAGAGAATTTTGAAGGCATTTTGACAAGTATTTTCTGGGGTTTTACACAATTATCTGATTAATCCTAAAGTATTTTAATTAAGGCACCAAAAAGTAGGGCATAACTTTGTGAGAACTCTTTCTGGATCAATGGCTGATTCTAATGATAATGGAGGTGCCCACAATCAATGGGGTCAAAATCTGGGAGAAGGTGGATTCAATGTGTGGTACATATGGAGGAAAGGATAAATATAAGCAAGTATGAGTTGAACTTCATGTGTTTTTACTGATCTTAGAGCAGTTTTCACAGCCAGAGTTTCTATAGTAATAGATATAAACCTAAATACCAAGTTAGACATAATAATGATTTAACAGTTTTTTTTAAATTAAAGAATTGCAACCTGATCATGAATGTATAATTTAGGAAGGCTTTTTTGTTTTCTTTTGCAGATGTGCAGATCAGCTCTCAAAATGTCTTCTGTGTCTTCCATGTACCTCCTAAGCCAGTTGCGTTAGTCCTCCAACTAGTTGACTAATAGAATTAATAACTGTAAAAGCAAAAAAGCAAAACCACACACAACAAAAAGCATTCTAGAGCCACATGCCTTATGAAGTCAATGCTGGGTATGATTTTACAAGTATGTAATATATATATATATATTTTTCCAAGTGGAAATGTTAACTGGAAAACTTCTTGGCACATCACAAAACATTGTGCAATCTGTTACTTGTCTTTAAGATAATAATTGCAGAATGCCTATATGCTTTCTCTGTATTCTCACTCTGTCTAACATGACTTGCCAGTTGATAGTTCCTACCATTTAAAAGTACTACAAATGGGCTTTTATTTAGATAATATGTCTTTTTGAAAAATGATATTGATAATGTACAAATGCAGAGGAAAGGAATATCTTTCTCAAGAGGACACTGCTATAGCCAATGTCTAGTGAAACTACATATTTAAGGGAGCAAGCCTGGGAAGCGGGCAGGAAGATGCTTTGAATGCTTCAGACAACCTTTTTCTCATATGAAAATAAATGAGAATTATTTTGTCATTAGTGTTTCTCACATGCTTAAGAGGAGAAGGGTTCAGGAAGTTGTTTGACCTTCTGTGTCACCAAACGTTTAGCCTAACCATCTGTTCTACAGTTGATGCTGCAGACTGTTAGGATATGTGGGTTGGGAATTGATCTAGCACTGGTATTAGAAATGCGGCAACTTCTGAATGAAGCAGCAGCCCATAAGTTACCTTCCCCCTCAAGTGGACTGGGTGTAAAGAACAGTAAGAATAGCACCACAATTATAATGCCAGTACTCTCTCTGAAGGAGATGTAAACCGCACAACTTTTGCATATCAGAGAAGAGAATGGTTCCCCATCTGTGTGGCTGACCCTCCTTCTGCACAACTTGAGAATCTAGTCAGTTGTATGAATTTGTTTAGGAAAAAATATGAAAGCCACTGAAAAGTCTCAATGCCACATTTCACTAATAATCATCCTTTAGTATAATGATGTCTTTCTTCTCTTCCTCTCTTCCACTAAAACCTTCTGTGCTTCCAGGCATTTGCCCTGAAAAGTTTATTGGAGTTCTCCAAAGCAGATTTGGGGGTGCCTAGAATTTTGTAAAGGAGAGGAGGAATTGTCCTCTTTTTACTTTCTTCTTATGGGTGTTGTGTACCCACTTTTCTTGTCAGGACCATTCTAAACCATTTTAAAAGTAAAACTATTTGCCATTTTAAAAAAGAATTAATTTTGAAACTCTTTGAGGGGCATTATGGTTACTTTTATAGTGATACAAAATTGTTAATGGATACATGAAATGGGAAGAACATTAGATTACTAATGCCCATTTAAACGTATTTAAATAATTTCATAAATCACTTACAATTTATTTATCTTTCATAATGGAATATTGATTAGCTTGCTGGTGACCTGCTGAAAGATTTTCCCACCCCAGAGTTTTTATTTGGTTTAGTTTTTCATTATTTATTTTACAGTAATTTATGTTTGAATGATCTTCACCAGACCAGTGTAAAATGAAATAGAAAGGTGGCAGTTTAAAATGACACAATTTTGATTCCATGGAAAGTAAATTCAGTTTGTTTTAGTAAGGATATAGTCCCAAGTAAGATATAGTTGATGCAATTTAAAGTCTTGTGGAAGATTTTTGTAGGGATGAGGGAGGTGTCCTGCTGAAATGTTTGCATTATATATAGAAAACAAATATTGTGCTTATTAAATAATCTTGTTAACATGGGTATTTTCTTGTGTTTGTTTTTTAATATATATTTTCAGATATGGTCCGGAAAAAGAACCCCCCTCTAAGAAACATTGCTAGTGAAGGTGAAACAGAGGCCCTGAAGTCGCCAGGTTCTGCCAGTGACATTATTGAAAGGAAACAAGAATTTTCTGCCGGTCAGATGCAAGAAAACACTGAGCCGGGTGAGGTTGTGGAGCAAACTGACAAGGAGGGGTTTTGCACACGTGTCCCTGAGCCATCTCCCAGTACTACAAAGGACTTGAAAATCTCAGTGACGAACGAAAAGACTGGCTTCAATTATGAAAGCCACAATAAGGGAGGAAATGTTCCATCCTTCCCTCATGATGAGGTGACAGACAGAAATATGCCAGCCTTCTCATCTGCAGCTGTTGAGGGAATCTCAGAGTCCTTGAAGTCTCCTCTCAGATCAGATGCAGATGACACCCAAGATGTGGTCTGCGCTCCGTCAGGCGATCTGATGGAGAAAAGCGAAGAGCACTGCATGTCGCCAAAATCTGCGGATGAGACAGTGCATGTGCAAAGCGGTCAATCTGATGGCCGGGGTTCAAGCCCAGCCTCGGTGGCCTCGAAAAACCCACAAGTGCCTTCAGATGGGGATTTAAGGTCAAACAAACTGAAAACAGAATTGTTGGCAAATGAGAATCCAGATACTGCGCCTCTTTCTCCAGAGCTTCAGGACTTTAAATGCAACATCTGTGGCTACGGTTACTATGGGAATGACCCCACAGATCTAATCAAACACTTCCGCAAATACCACCTCGGGCTGCACAACCGCACCAGGCAGGATACTGAGCTCGACACTAAAATTTTGGCTCTCCACAACATGGTACAATTCAGCCACTCCAAAGACTTCCAAAAAGTCAATTGTTCTGTGCTGTCAGGGGTCCTTCAGGACATCAATTCTCAAAGACCCATCTTGCTAAATGGAACTTACGATGTGCAGGTTTGTATCTTGTACTCTCAACACTTTCCTGTGTGTCTCTTAAAAAGGAAAGCATCAGAATGTGCTGCATTAATTAAATAATCTCACATGGGCTGTGGAAATGCCACTTAACCTGCATTTCTATTTCACAATTTTTTGTCTGTCCCATGAGCCCATTCCTTCTTTTTCAAATGAAACTTTAGAGTTATAATGAAATATAATATGCTTGCTTCTGTGGACAAATTGAGGACTCTGCTAAATATAGTTTAATGTTATGAAGATAAGTCTACTCAATGCATAAGTGCTTTCCTACTTTCCTCAAATGTGCATCAAATGAGAAAATAAGGAGCATCTACTTCCTTAACCTCAATCTCAATTTTTCAAAATCTGAACCAGGACGTGTTTTGATTATTTTAAACCAGAGAATGAAATTTGTTCCCCTATAGTTTTCTACACTAATTCAATTATAATAACTGATGATTGGCCATGATTGCCATGGTTTTGGAGAACTTCAAGATATACCAGTTTTCCAAGTTGAAAATGTGGTTTCTATATATAAGCTAGATTAGAACCACAGCTTGATCTTGGTTTTGTTAATGAAAAAGTTTAACCTAAGTTATTCCAATGTAATGTTGGTAGGGGAAAGTGGAAGGAACATTTTCAAATCCAAGACTCAAGCAATTTAATTTCCACACTGCTACAATGTAGCACAGTTTTATATCAAGCTCAGACTGATAATATGTATATGTTGGGAATTATTGGTGTAATTCAAATGTTGCATTTTAATCAACATAAGTTTAGTACATACTAAATATTGGTGGATCTGGCATCCTTAGAGTAATAGATGTCTGTCTGCCTAATTCCTGGGGTTTGGGTGGTGAAGTGGAGGGGAAGACTTCAAATTTAGCGGTTTGATGTAGAATGCAAATGAATAAAAAGAAAGAACTGTGATTCAGTGAAATAATTCACTGAGGACTCCAAGAATAGTTGAAATGACTGTCTTCAGAATTTTCTTCTGGTCAGAGAATTGGGAAAGACTCTACTTCAAAACTAGAAGAGCTACTGTCAATTATAGACACTACTGAACTAGTGTCCTCATTCAGTGGAAGACGGATGTATGTGTTCTTAGCAACAGGGTTTAGGTGCAAAAGTCATTGGTTGACAGAAAAGTGAAACATATGCAGATCAGCTTTATTTATGCAAACATTCTTTCTTCTGAATCTGATGTTGATATTTTGGGTGAGAATTGAATATGACTGAAAGTCATAAAGAAAAATATATATAAAAGACAATGCCAAAGAGTGTCCAGTTATTGAGGTTCCCCTAAGAATGCTTACTTGATTAAAGCTTCCACTGACATGAGGAAAACACATATGAATTTTCAGAAATATCTACATCAATTATCCTGGGAGTAGTTTATTTAGAAAGAACCGCCTTCTACTGAGTCAGATCATTAACCACTCTTGTTGTAACTCATCAAAGATCTGAACAGGTACTTTCAAAGCTTTTTTTTAACGTCCATTTGACTAAAGGTGGCAGAGATTAAATTTTGGATCATAAAATATGTTTGGACCACTGAAATACATGTCGTTCTGTATACCATCCACACCAGTAGAATATCCTGCCCATTGTCCATTAATACAGGGATAGGCAACTTGTGGTCCCCTAGCTGCTTTTGGAGTGTCCTGTCATTCTGCTTTGGTTATGCTGATAATTGCTGCTGAAAGTTGCAGTCAAGCTTAATCTGGAAGGTCAAAATTGCCCACCTATCACTGAAATAGCAGTAACTGTGAGCATTGCAATTATTGGTTCAAACCTTTTTCTGGTGGAAATTGAGTTTTGGGGCATAGACTTGAAGTCTGAAATTTCGGGTATCTCATTTGAATGATTTGTATGGTAAATAGTTTTGCCTTGTTGCTGCTGTTCTGTGCCTTCAAGTTCACCCTGATTTATCACTTTCAGCAAGATTTCTTTAGAGTAGGTTTACCATTGCCTTCCTCTGAGATTGAAAGGGATTGTGATTTGCCTTACTTGCACCAGTGAGTTTCCATGGATGAGTGCGGATTCAAACTCTGATCATCCAGAATCATACTCCAACATTCAAACCATTGCACTATTCTCAAATGATCTTTCCTACCCTGTAGTGATGTAATGTTCCGTTGGTAAGTAATGGTATGTGAAGTCTCAAGAATGGAGTACAGCACAGAGTGCCATGGCTTTATAGATCAGGGAAGGGATATATCCTCAGCTGTTGTAGCACATAAATCTCTCTTTCCATGAAGAGTAAGTACAAAACCTATATACAAAAATATGAGCGGAAAATACATTCCCATGAGAAATCGCTTTTTTTAAAAAAAGAGAAAAATAGTATCTGGATTATTTTAAATGTACAATGTGATTTTTGTTGGTTGTTGGAAGCCATGACTTTTCTTATTGATTTTTGATGGAGCAAGGAACATTACGTCTTGAGGATAAGCAGCATAAGTGATCTGCTGCCAGGACTGTAAGGTTTACATTTCCGGACGACAGAAAAACATGTGAGCGTTATGAAAGTAATATTCCATAATAAATCCTTGCACACACTTCATCATCAAAATAGTATGCATTGAAAATTAGGCCTGCATTTTTTTCTTGGACACAGAGTCTAAGAGTTTTTCCCCATGGTTTTGCTTCTGGACATAGCACTGCAGGATATTTTATGGAATAGAGGTAGGTGGTTCATAATTCAGACTTTTATACTCTGAAGCTGTTTAGCAATTTGCCTCAGTTCCTGACCAGTTTCCTATCTTCTCCAAAAACTTGCTTTCCACTTAACTCTCAGACTGTCATAGAAAGTTTGCTGCTTCGCACAGCCCTCTCTGATTTATAATTTTGTTCTCATTCATCACAGAAAAGTTGTAGAACATTTCAAAATATAACCATTATTTTTACTTGTATTTTAACCTCATACTGCCCAGAATTTTCAGAGTGTAATGTTTTTAAAAAGTAATTAGCTCAAATGGGTTCAGTTAGAGTCAAATTGTACTTTCAGTATGTAGCATATAACTGTGTCTGTTGGGTATGAAACACATAAATTATTCAAAGTATAGCTGAGTAATTAACTCATGTTAGCAACTTATCATACATATCCATGTTTAAGATAACCTCATATATAAATTGAAGGCAGGTTTTGGGATGGAAAATTATGGATTTTGACATGACCCATGGATAAATTGAGGATCATTCCATGTAGAGGGGAAAAGCACAAATGTCACTTCAGGACCAGATGTAGAGAAGATCTTCTCTTAGGTTCTCCTAGGATGGACTAATCTCTTGCCTTTCTTTCACCAGTTTACATAGAAAAGGGGATTTTTTTTCTCACATTTACCCATGGAAAAGTCAACACGGGTGTTTGTTTGTTTTTTTTTGGGGGGTAGATTTTGGATTAAGATTTTTAGACTTATATATAAGTTTACAGAGTAAATTAATTCCTCCACTGAAAGGAACATGGTTATAATAACTAAGTGGAGGATATCTGATCCGTGGGTTTGTGTTACTATGATTTAATCTTGGTCTCCTACCCTAGCTCTCCAGGTAAAGACATATCCAAGAATCTGCAAGGTGCGTATGCTTAATAAGCTCTCAATTGTTTAATATGGAGATTTATTTTTTTCCTATGCAAGTTGAAAATATAGGAATGAACTGGATCAGAACCAAGGTGGTGGCAAAATATCTGTGGATCCTATGTTAGTATCCTGATGCATGTTTACATTTAGTTAAGAATAGGCATATTGAAACGTGAACTGGATTTGATACTTAATAATGTTGGAGCCCCCAGTGGAACAGTGGGTTAAACCCTTATGCTGGCAGGACTGAACACTAACAGGTCGGAGGTTCGAATCCGGGGAGAGAGTAGATGAGCTCCCTCTGTTAGCTCTGGCTCCCCATGCGGAGACATGGCAGAAGCCTCCCACAAGGATGGTAAAACATCAAAACAAACCCACAGAACCTATCTTGTTCGTAACTTGGGGACTGCCTGTATACTCATGTATAAATACTTCATTTCCACTTACATACAACTCATTGATTTCAGTGGTTCTGAAATGGACCAACATTGCATTTGGCCCAATCTGATTTGGAGGGCCAGATATTTCCCACCAGTGATTGAAGTAAAGAGGTATAGACAGTGAGCTTGTATGGTTAAGGATATATGCACATTCATACCTGACCATACACAAGTGTATAAATATTTATTATTTACAGTATTTATATACCGCCTTTCTTACCCCTGGTGGGACTCAAAGTGGTTTATAGTTTGAAGGTGTAACAAAGTGTAATGCAAAGTAGATAGCAGATGTTTTCTTCCAGTCTCCCACCCCCTTTCTATTCCCATATTTCAATAGTCTGTGCCCACTGCCCATGCTCGTTATTTATGAGCTGTTCTTTAGGTTTTTTTTAAATGACAGCATCAATACCAATACATCTTGGACCTATTGGCATCTTTACTTCCTTCAGGGATGTTGCTCTTCCGGCTGCATAAGAACTAACCTTCAGAGCATTGAGAAAATTGTGGTTTTGTGTTGGATTATGACTTTGAGACACAAGGATTTAAATGCCTGCTTTTGGGTGAATTTGGGCAAGTTAGTTTCAAAGGCAGGAAATAACAATCCCTTCTGAATAAATATTGCCAAAATAAAATCCCATGACAGGATCTTCTTAAGAGTTGCTATAAGTCAGAAATGATTTGAAGGCACACAGCTGCTGCTACTACGTAAAGATTTTGCAGGAAGATGTGGCTGATTCAAAAATTCAATTCTCTATCTGCGAAGAAGACCTTTCCAACTATGGTGGCCAATATACAGAACTCTGTCTTTAAAAAAATCTTTTATTTCTTCCTAAGAGTTATGCTGTTAGGATCTTGGTTATTTATAGGAAAGTTTATGCTTGATTAGATTGGGTTTGAATACTTTTCCTAGGCGGCATTTGCTGAAAGAAACCAGATGTGCACGATATCACAGATTGAATAAATAGAGCAAGAAATA